AAACCTTCATTAGCCATAATATCATGCAATATCTCTCCATTATTATTTGTTGATTCACAATTCCATGCAGTGTTGTGGGCATTGAAATCGCCAAGGATAATAGTATCACTTGGATTACCATTAACAGAGTTGAAAACTGCATTAAGATCTCGTGCACCAATCCCAGCTCTAGGGTGTCTATAGACCGCAACAATATTGATGTTATTGGCAAGATTCGAAGTTTTGATGCCAACCATATCATACATTGCAGGGGAAGTCCCAGCAATCGGCAGTACATCAAACGAAATGTGCGAACGAACAGAAATAGAGACTCCACCACTACCAAGTAAACTCCTGCTCTGACATGATCTAAATCCAGGAAAATATATCGAGCTACGACCGGAGCACCGAGTCTCTGTCAGAACAATAATATCATAATCCATTGACAATTTCGATAATTCATTTTTATGACATTTATAGCCTCTGCAGTTCCAAAGAAGTAATTTGAATTTTTAAGCTGAATTAAGGCGATCTTTATCTTTATTCCTACTATACCTTGACGATTCTCTATACTCCATCTCCTCATTACTCTGGATATTATCAGGATGCAGGGGAAAACCCCCATCCTGTTCATCTTGCGCTTCCGACGCAGCTAAGGCGCGAATTAACTTAATCCGAGCTCCCGGAACCTTTCGCAGAAGTAGTAAAATACTCTCAATGGTCTCTGAGATTCGGTGATCCTCCTGATGTCCCATACTCATATGGTTGTCCTTGGAAAGAGTCTCACTCCCCGCCCGACAACCCGCGGTGAACATAATACCTCTTTTTTCCCTGGTGATTTCGCCGGAACGAAAATCAAAAAATTTATAAAAATTACGCGGAGCTTCATATGTTGCCCTCCGTTTGTCCTTAGCTGAATAATGCAGGGGATGATCCCCTTTGTCTCTCTGTGCTGAAGTAGTAGGCCCCGTTGGAACACGTGAATCAGCCCGTAGGGCCTCAGAATAAGAGATGGGTCCAGCCGACGATGGAAGATTTGGCCAGGATGTTGGATTAGTAAGCTTGTTTTGATATTCCGGTGAAGAATCTGAAGCTTCTCTCTCCACAATCCGTTTCGCACTATGAAAAGAAATGTTTTTATGAGCCATAACGATGTTAATGTTTTTGGTTTTTTCAAACTGAGGGCAGCCTCTAAACGTGGACTTATGACAGCCCCCGCAATTGTAACAACGTTGTTCCCTCTCACATCGACCATGGGCTTTATCTCCACAAATTATGCAGCGCGTATCACTTTTGCAGTTTAGTTTAGTGTGACCAAATCTAAAGCAATTAAAGCATTGGCGGACCTGAGGAACATATCGACGGACCCTGAGGACGATACCTTTATCGAAAATTGTTAAATTACGAATGTTCTTATCCTTAAATGTAACTATGATATTGTCCGTGGCTACTAACGAAGTCTTACTACTCAACGAATCCCACTTCCTACGGTACATGCGCTCCATACTCAAAATCTTAGATCTATCCTGTATACTCGACCATAATTCCGGGATTGACGAAGGCCAATCCGAGATGACTCCTTTGCTAACGACGAAGCGTTGTTCCAAGTTGGCCTTGAGCTTCACTGGGTCTCCGAGAACATCAATCGTATCGAGTGCGTGATTGGCGTCTCTAAAATCCTTAAATTCAGCCTCCGCTGAAAAGTGGCTAATCATAGTAACAGTCAGTGGGCAGATCCGAAGCTCATTCAAAATCATCCAAATCTTAATTTCATTTTTACCCCTTCTAGTCGTGGTCTGATCAGGAGGGAGGCGTAAAATAATACTGGCTTTGCCACTGAAATCATCTGCATATCTAGTGAACTTCCGAAATTCCGATGAATCATTGTCAGAAAAGTCACGAGCCTTTAAGGTAGTTCCACTAACAACAAATGCCTCCTTAATAATACTGGCAGAAGTGTTTACATATTTTACAATGGCTTGAGCATCAGGTACACTGTTGATTGCCACGCCAGAATCACGTGATTCACCGGCATTCCCATCACAGCCTAAATGTACGGACGGCAAGGGGGGATCATTAACACTAATATCACCAAAATTATTATACGGATCCTGATTCAATTCCTGAGATTTCTCCTCGTCAATCACTTCCATCTCCATATCATTACGAGACGCGCGTGTCTCCGTGTCGATATTGCGTCGTCTTAAAATTTCTTCATCTCTTAACCTCTTGGAGGCAGGGTTTCCTCGATATTTCACCTCATGCCAGGTCCCCCCTGAAGAAACGCTCATTGCAAACGCATCGAAAGTCTTCTCGTTCAAACACGTTTTTTGTCTTTTGTTGGACACAGGCTGTGTTTCTTCACCCGATAGGGCCTCGTCATGCACCGACCGCGTGTCGTCTGCCGAGTCCGATTCCATACGGAGGCTTATTTGTTAGCCCAATTTTATCGCTCCCCCTCCGAGGGGGGAGCAGTAAAAAGGGGATTTATTTAAACAGAGCCCACCCGAATGTATAAATTAAACCTCCACAACTAAGCACCCGCAACTTGATCCAAGTACGCGAGGTTAAATACTACAAATAAGAGCACCGACTAACACGTCCGACTCGTATAACGGCTCGAGCCGAACTCCCCGACACGTTTGAGATATTCGTAAGGTTAGGTACTGCACGCGGTAGGTAAAAGTACATACTTTAAGATAATATAAAGGTCTATTCTGAAAAAACATAAGCTTCATGTCCAGTACGTTGAATATTAGACAATAAAATTTTACTTACGGTCGCAAAAAACTTTCAAGTTTTTACGTCAACACGGCTGGCGCAATCTCAAGACTGTAAACACACCAAAGATGGGCATACACTAACACGTTTTGGGAATAACGGGTGCTGCCCTCTGGTTATTAGTTTTTTAAATAAAGTCAAAGTGACAACGTGCCCCGCGTGACAACATGCCCCGGTCTACCCTACGTCAACACGTAACGAGCAGACGAGCAAATTGGCTTTCCGACTTTCCAGTCCCGAAGTACTCATCCATAGCGTAAAACGGAGATCGTGAGAATTATTAAATTGTATTTGTTAGGCCGCTGATGATGGCTCAATGCGAAGCCGGAACGTTTGGACAAAGATGTAAGAAGAATAAATAAATTTATAAATAAATTTTAATTTATCACGCACAAATAATATAGCAAATTATTCTCTTACAATTAGTACTTAACTACCTAAAGAAAATCGACTTTTCCTTGACTAAAATATCGCGTATAGGGTAGACCGGGGACAAAAGTAACAGGGTACAGTTGTAACATCGTGAATATTTCTTAAACTATAAAAGGTACATGTGTATGACCGCGAGGCGAGATCCGCTAGATAGAGCGGCATTTGTTCCTTAGTTCATTGCCGCCCCTCGCGGAACGTGCACGTGTGCA